GGTTCAAATATATTGTTACTTGTCCAAGGTTAGTCAGTCACACAGCTAACCAGGGTCTTTCTTTTCTTCTTTTTTTAGAGACAGGGTCTTGCTGTGTCACCCAGGCTGAAGTGCAGTGGCATGATCATAGCTCACTGCAACCTCGAACTCCTGGGCTCAAGTGATCCTCCTGCCTCAGCATCCCGAGTAGCTGGGACTACAAGTGTGTACCACCATGCCTGGCCCTACCCAGGGTCTTTCTACTGTACCACACTGCCTGGCCAACAGGCAAGGCTTTCAAGGGTTTAAGGAAGAGCTCTACTTCCTTCACCTACAAAGTGGTTGAAGAAAGAGCTGGAATCATTTATGTTTTCCCTCAAAGCTGAGCAGAATGACTAGCACACAGGAGGTACCTCAATATTTGAAGGAAAGAAAGAATATGCCCAAGTGACTGCAACAACCAGAGGTTTGATTGATTTTATAATATGTTGTTCTGGCTACCAGCATCATAGGCCAGAGTTCTGAACTCACTGGTTAAAATTGTGATAAAATAATTCCTTATATTAGTTGGTGGCCTCCCAACATGTATTGTTTTGGACACCTGTTTCTTCCAAGAAGTGTGCTGCCATAAGGACACAATTGTCACCAGGTGGGACAATAAGGTGGAATGAACCCTATAAATCAGGCAAGACAAGACCTCATTTTGGGCTCACATCTATAATCCTAGCACTCTGGGAGGCTGAGGCAGGAGGATCGCTTGGGCTCAGGAGTTTGAGACCAGCTTGAGCAAGAGCAAGACCCTGTCTCTAAAGAAAAAAACAAAAACAAAAAACCTAGTTTTGTTAAGTCACGTGGCAGGATTTCCAGGGACAAGAAGTCATTACTGACTTCTCTAAGAAAATTGGTTAGTTCACATGTTGATGACCATGTATCTTGGATTTTTCAGGCCACTCCTAACCTCAAACAGTTTATCCTCTTCCCTCGGTAAATACATTCATACTCACAAGACTGTACCCTGGTTTGGGATTCTGAAATAGGAGGTCACCATCTCTAAACAGCACTGCACAATTACCTGATCAACTGCTGGTACAGTTCTAGCTTAAGCAGAGGACCCAGCCCTTTTGGCACCACATCCTCCACCTTACTCAAGAAGACAGTGGTGCCTTCAGACAACACTATTCCCCTGTATTATTTATCTGTATGTCTCAGTTGCCCCAACTAGTTTATCAGCCACTTGAAGTCAGGGGCTGTGTTTAGTTACCTTTCTCTCTCCTTAGCCTCCAACTCAGCGACTGTACAAAGCATTCCCAAACACTGGAAAGTGTAAATTGTACAACTTTATCAATAATAAAGAATACTTTATCAGTATGACCCAGCGATTCCACTCCTAGCGATTTATCCTACAGAGATACTCTCACAAGTGAGGAATGATATATTCATTATGGGATGCTCATTGCAGCAATACATGTAATAGCAAAAAACTGAAAACTCTCATTAGGGACTGGTTAAACTTATTACGACAAGTGTATACAATGGAATACTATGCAGCCACAGAAAGAACAAGGTATGTTTATATATACCTACACAGAAGGAGGTCTAAGTGTTATACACTCTATGATATACTTGCACTAGCATAGGAAATCTCCAGAGGGATACACAAGAAACTTAACAGTGGTTGCCTCTGGGGAGGGGATGATAGTTCAGAGAGGGATAAAGGCTTATTTTCATCATATACCCTTTTGAAATATTTAGATTTTTTTTTTTACCCTTTGCATATAATGATTTTTCTTAAAACAAAAAAAATCAGTTATGAAAAGTGAGGACAAGTGAAAAAAGCAAGCTTTATAAGAGCATGCATAGTATGAATCCCATTTATGGAAAAGAAAGAAAAAAATGTATTTCCACATTTGGGTTTAGAACATTTCTGGGAAGTTACGTAAGAAACTTACCAGTGATTTCTCCTGGAGGGTGGGATTTTTAAAATTTTCACTATGTATCCTTTTGTATTTTTTAAAATTAGTCTGCATTACTTTTTTAAAAAGCAAATTTTTAAAATGGCTATAAATTAGGGGCCTAGGAAATATTCGATGTTCATAATGAAGTCACGCTAACTTAAATTTTGCCTCTCAAAATTTAAATACTGACAGAACTAAACAACTTAAAGTCCCAGCCCTATCTCTAGTTTGGGGAGGGCAAGACATTTGTCTGCAAGGGGAAATGGAAAAGGGAAGGAAAGATGATGGCTAGGTAGGGTCTCTTTGAACACCAGTAGTAGCTGCCCAGGGTATGGAAACTTTCTTCTTTTGCGAAGTCCAGAGTTATTATGGTAAGGAGTAAGGAATGGACTATGCAATTCAAACTTAAGAAAAACCTAACATCTCTTCATTGAAGCAAAGTCAAATGGACAAATTTAAGAGAATATCTACGCATGAGATCCTAAATGAATTATGGTATAGACAGATTATAAATGAATTATAGAATATGTATAGTATGATGTTTTTTACAAAAAGCAAACATTTAAAAACCTGCATATCCATGTGTATATGTACATATATGCTTTGAAAAAGGTCTAAGCCAGGAGCAGTGGTGTACTCGGAGGCTGAAGCAGGAGGATAGATCACTTGAGCCCGGGAGTTCAAGGCTGTAGTGAGCTATGCTCACACCTGTGAATAGCCACTGCACTCCAGCTTGGGCAATACAGTGAAAACCCATCTGTAAAAATAAAAAAAAAAAAAAAGAAAGAAAGAAAGAAAGAAAGAAAGAAAAAGGTCTAGAAGGATATATGCCAAATAATTAACAGATATCACTCCTGAGGAGTAGAATGGGAATACAGAAAACTTTTTCAGGCCGGGCGCGGTGGCTCACGCCTGTAATCCTAACACTCTGGGAGGCCGAGGTGGGCGGATTGTTTGAGCTCAGGAGTTCAAGACCAGCCTGAGCAAGAGTGAGACCCCGTCTCTACTAAAAAAATAGAAAGAAATTATCTGGACAACTAAAAATATATAGAAAAAAATTAGCCGGACATGGTGGCACATGCCTGTAGTCCCAGCTACTCGGGAGGCTGAGGCAGTAGGATTGCTTGAGCCCAGGAGTTTGAGGTTGCTGTGAGCTAGGCTAACACCACGGCACTCACTCTAGCCACAGAGTGAGACTCCGTCTCAAAAAAAGGAAAAAAAAAAAAAAAGAAAACTTTTTCTTTTTCCTTTCACATTTCTGTATTATTTGATATTTTAAATAATACTTTTGTAATTAAAAACAAAATGTAAAAAAACCTGCATAATGTTCAAACTTTTATGTCCAAAAAAATTCTTCAAATATTTTTCTATAAGATTTTAATTTTAACCTCAAGGTAGTTTTCACAAATGTGGTTTCCCATCTGTCTGGGTGGTTAAATACAGTCTTGCCTGGATAAAGGGAGAGAACTCATAATTCTTCAAGGTCACTTCAATCTCTGGATTTCTCATAAAGTACGGGTAAGGTAAGTAATTAATCAGAAAAGCAGGGCTTTTTCCTGACACCCAGCAATGTGATGGTGTTGAACAAATTTCTAAAAATGAGGTGATCAGCCCCTTGGAAAATGGCTTCCCCAGTACTCCTTGACTACTGTTTTCTTTACCGGAAGACACACACACATATTCTCTCTCTCTCTCTCTATCTGTTCAACCAACCTGAACCTTGGCAGCTCAGCTTCAGCCAAAGAGCCAGGGGAAGCCCTGAGGCAGCTACGTTCTGCACTGCTGCCACTAACAGTCTGGGCTTCCAACTTGGGAGAATACACGCTGGAGAGAAAGCTCTGCTGTTATTAAATCATAGATGCTGGGGGCGGGTGGAGGGGTCTGGCATCCATGCCACCTGCTACATGCAGGGGCTCAATTATAGGGTTACATTTACTACTCAGTCAATGCATAGGAGTGTGGGAGAAGAGTGCCAATATAACCTTTCCTTGCCTGGCAGAGCCGTTGGCAGCTGTGGTTTTTCTTAACTGGTAAATTCTCCTTAGGAAAGTCACCATTCCTTATCCTACAGATCCTTTCCCACTAGGAACAGCTGCATTTGCTCATCCTCGCTTTCACATTTTAATTTGGTCCTGAAGCTATAAGCAGCAGTGGACAAATGACTTGGGAGTCAGATACCTCATTTAAGCCCAGGAACAAGCTGTCTGAGTGACTTCCACCCTATGAGGCCCAAAGAAAAATAGAAAATGAAATGAAATCACTTGCTGCTGTGAAACAAATGTGGGGACATTTATACAGTTTTTATTTATTCAACTATAAAGATTGCAGCAATTTTTTGATGGGTAACACCTTATATTAACACTAATTATACTGCTATAAATTTGGTTCAGGATCAGAACAGGATTCAGGAAAGGGAGAGAACAAAAAAAAGAGTAAGAGTCTCCGAACATCGAAACAGATAAATACTTTTTTTTTTAAACTTTTCTTTTTAACTTTAATTAAATGTACTTTCCCATAGACTTCCCTAGACTGGTTTGCAATCAAAGGTAATAGGAGACAAGGCCTTGGGCATTTTGAAGAAACTGCACCCATGGTGCCAAGCAGAAGACTGAAAAACCCTGATTTGAGTTTCAAATCTCAGACATGGTCTGGGATAGAGGCAGATTCTCAAATGTTTCCTAGTGTTCTCTCCTTTTCACCAATTAAATTTTCCCTTCTCTGGCTGATCCAGTGCCGTATACAATCCCCTCATTGCCTCTCCTTGTCAAACTACTGTTTGGAGGAAACCTGGCAGGGATCTGTGGCTTCTGCTTAGATTCACAAGGCCACAGACTAGCTCTGACCCACCTCCTCCTGAAGACAGCCTGACAGCTGGGGGCAACTGGAAGGACTTGTGCACTGAGAAGAATGTTGTTTACCCTTGGGAAACCTAGCAACAGTTGCCTCTGATTCCTAGTGGAAATGCCCAATTTGAATCAATCCATATTATTGGGAAAGATCAAGGAAAAAACAGCTTCCCCTCCAAAGTGGTAAAGAGGAAATAAGGAGATAAGAAACCAAAAATATTTAGAATGGCACAAAAAGTTATATGCATAAACTTCTTTCTATTATTAAATCTAACTATAAGTTTCCTAAAGTCCAGTTATCAAGTTGAACTGTGTGGGATACAAGAGAGGCCAACTGGAATTTTCCTCAAGAGTTCACAGCTTCCGCCCGAGAGGTCCTGGGTTTGCGCTGGGGGAGCCCCTTTTTGAATGAGGGCTTAGGTGGGCTAGGCTCCATGCTGACTCCAGTTCCACTGGTCCCTGCAGAGTGAGCCTGGCCCCATTCACTAGCGTTTCCTGGTGTCTGGGGCGGAGCACTCTGATACCTAGAACCAGATGAATACCACGAGCTATTTCTGTAACGACCCACATTGTCATGTCGCCCTTGGTTCGTAGGGTCACTGGACTTTTGGCCTTGTGGCCTGTAGCCTTGTCCTCCTCGTCTGTTCCCAGGTAATACCTAAGGAGAAAAGAATACAATGTTCAAGGTGCTCTGGCATTATCATGCCCCATTTGTTCTAGTTCTGTTTATAGGAGTATTCTGAAAGCATAACTGTGGTATCCCATGCTGGGGACTCAGTTATCTCTCAAGACTCACAGAATTCTGTCAGCAATCCAGAATTAACACATATTTCCCTGCCTTTCACTCCTAGGCTCTTCTCCACTGAAGAGGAGTTTATTTTTCTTAAGCTGGGCACAAGAAAGCTAAGAAGGAAGAACGAACATTCTTTGGGTTGTTACAAGTCCTCAGTTGGACAAGTATCTTATTACACGTCTGAACTCTGCAGATCACAGGCCATTTGTAAAGGTAATAAACATCACTATAATAAAATAAAGCATCATTATGGTCTGCTTTGCTATATATCTTACACTATAGATTAAACCATGCTGCCGTGACACTTAGTACATCTTTCACATTACAACCCAAAAAGCTTATGCTTATGGCATGATGGCTTATGGCATGGGATTTTATTTTTGTCCTCCAAAATTCTAATGTTATACTGATTCTACAGAATTACTGACAGCAATGCCTCAGAATGCTTTTGTGTTTCTTCTCCAAACCAAGGAAAAGAAACTGGTTACTTTTCAACTTTCTAGTGTTTGCTCCTCATCCTCCCTCCCCAGGTTCACTCTCTTACCCGGATATATTCCACATTGTGCTTCTAGGGAGTTGCTGATTTTGGATGCTGGTGAACCTGCCACAAATGGTGCCTGTCTACCTTGAGATGGGTGCACGACTCCCAGTGTGACTAATTACCAGGCAATACTACCTACAATGGCAAAGATCACTGCCAACATAAGACAGTCAGCAGTTCTCAGCACCAGGAAATCTAAACTGGCTGGTAGTTTGGAATACACATCTTGAATGCTTTCTCAGGAACTAACTGGGGCTGGAGGGATTCAAAATAGGTGTGGAATGGGAATAAAGAGAGTAAGGTAGTATCTTTATTCCCAGTGTATTACCTAACACTGAGCTATCAACATTTAAACTCTGATAGTCTGGTGGCTTTTTTTCCTAACATGCTCAGCGTGGAAGCTAGGTTACCTCCCGGTGCGGCTGGTAGGTCCGGCCACTGGAGTTTGCTGTGGCTGCAGGTGTCTCTCCTGGCACAGAGGTTTTCTTGTTAGCACTTGTAAGGCTGGGGGCAGAGGCACAGGTGGAAGAGGAAACAGCAGAGGCATCACTCAGGCTACTCAAGGACACAGGTGTAACTAAGCTACATCGGGATCTGGTTGAATAGCTATTCTTTGGATGGGACACTGAAAGACAAATTTGAGGAATATGTTGGTCATATGATGGGAGAGCACAATGGGTAAGGTTTCTACTATATATTAATTTCACAATGAGCAATTTAAGATAAAGAACTGTCTACTCAAGTAGTCATTTAAAAAAATCTATACAATGGAAAAGAGGAAGAAAAATCTCTCTTCTGCCATCTTCTTCTACTCCCTCCAAATCCTCACTGCTTTTTTGTAAAGGAATTCTTAGAGACAGGAGAACAGTTTAAGACTGAAGTTACTCATCTCCCCAGCTAATGACTTCTTGGCGTTTCCTACTACCTAAACTCCTGGCTACAGCTCTAGCAGCTGACTAAGCCTGGGAACAATAGTATGGGCCATATGTTCAGTTTCCTATGTAAGGCACATTCTAAAGTACAGACTTTGCAAAGAAAGAGAAAGGTAAATAAATCAAATCTTTGCTAAATCCTTTTTAAAAAATTTGAATGATGCAAGGTATAAATAATCAAGATCACTTAAATATGAATAGAACTAGTCTTCACAACAAACATGTACCTTGTCAAATTTCTTTTTGCAAAAATAACCCCAAATTCAAAATACCAATCTAACTGAAAAAGTATTATTAAATAATATGTTCAATTCAAATTCTGTCAGAATTCAATGGTTTAAAACTACTCCCCCAATTTTTTTTCTTGGCTTTAAGCCTGAACTAATGATGAATTCATAATCATTGCCCTAGGTTCAACATTTCACTTTTGTATGAGATACAAAGAACACAGAAGCTGAGTTCAAGGCTTGACCAGTAAGTCACCATAAACACTCACCTTGTAGGCACCTTCCCGCCCCAAAGTTAAATGCTATTATTTAGGAATCTATTAGGTGCCAGGCATCATTCTCCCTCCATTCTGGAGAGGTGGAGAATGAGGTTCCAAGAGGTTAGTGTAGAGGCAAGGTCTGACTGCAGAGCCCTATGCTCTTTATGCTATATATATATCATACACCTCTCGATTCAGCAGAAAGTCATGAAAAACTAGTCTTTCACATTTAGGGAGCTGGCAAATGCTCATCCCCAGAGTTCAAAGCATCTGCATCCATGGACTTCATGTGTATCTCAGAGTTACTTCTCATAAAAACAAGCAAACAAGAGGCACTGAAGAAGAATCAGTGGAGAAGCCAATCAGCATGTTAGTCTCTAATTAATAATCACCACCTCTAGTGCCCAGAGTCCCTCACCCTCTCACCTTGTCCAAATGAATCAATGCTCTTCTTTAGGGTCTCCACATCACAGGTGAACCGGGCTACTCGTCCCAGATCCTCGTCATATTTACGTTCACTAACAAAGTGCTGGAGAAAGGGCAAAGAAAGGCCTCCAGATTGGATAAACATTACATGTGAGGTCTGTAACTTACAATGTACAGATAAGACGGAATTATTTTCAATTGTCTTTTTACTGCTTCAAAGTTTACTAAAATGGCCATGATATTACCAGTGCTGGGTGATAGGACAAATTCACTCATTTCCTCAAGAGCCCAAAGGTAAGTTTGGAAGTTTTATGAAATGCTACACAATGGTCAAAGCCCATTAGGTATAATCAAGAGAAACTGTAGAGAAAGGAAAAAGGAGGGAGAATTTATAGTAGAGGTCATCTTTCCACTGTTGGCTATTCTCTACATCATGTCATTCTATATAGATACATAGGCAGCAACGATGTTTATAAGCTGCAACAACAATCCCATTTAGATGGTTTGGCGCTAATAGGAACTTCCTTAGGAAACCCACTTCACCTCTTTATAAAGTAGGATTTCTTAGTCCTTGAAATAGGAACAATTGCTTGAAATGGAAAAATCATTCATGCGAAAAGTCAACTTTGCAAATGAGAAGAGTTTATGCTGCAGGTAATTTAATCTTTTTAAGCAGATTGAGCTGAGAAGTAACCAACCCCTTAAGTCAAAAACTAACTCTACTATAGAAATTGTGGGACTAGAAATATGTCAGGAATAACCTGCTTCTGAGGGTCTATTTCCATAAACAATGTCTAAGGTAGCCTGGAATCATTTTTTTGAGATGAAAAGGAGATGAAAAAGAAAAATTAAAGGCCTAGATATAATTTGGAAGAATTGAGCTACTCAGAGCAGTCCTCCCAACTGGGGGTGGTCTGATACCACTTTGAATGCATCAGAATTCTCAGGATGCATCCAGAAGCACTGAAAGGGAAAGAATTGATAAGAATTACCTTTTTGGCCTTGAAGTCCTAAAGCATCAGAGTATATTGTGGCTTAGGAAAGCACATAAACCTCTTGTAACAAAGCCTTCGGACATGTAATATCAGCCTGAGATTAATTGTGAAACAAATTCTAGGGTTTGTTGAGCCAAAGACATAATAGGAATGACGGAAATAAAATGATCTGGAAATAAGACATTTAAATTGCATAGCACCCACTTCAGTACATTGAAAATGTGGAGAGAAACAGATCCTTAGTCAGCCTGCAGGAATATTTCTAGCAGCTTTTCAGCCACGTGGGAAGGGGAAACAGATGAAGTCTGTGAGAGCCAGAATTCTCATCTAATTCCAAAGGGGTTTCCGGCTTCTCCCAGATAGTTGAATGAGCCTGACTGGCATCAATGTGGGAAGCCTTTCTACAAAATTTAGTAATATAGTTTTAGTTAAACAGAAAATGGTAATTTAAAATTTGTGTTGTTTGGCTATTTCATCCCAATAGAGTCTTAAGGGGAAGGAGTGTGAGAACTGTAATACTCCATGGGTTCGTCTAAAACACTGGGTCAGAATATCACGAGGATCCTTGCAGAGTCCTAGATGATCTCCCATCTATGTTTTTATTTTACAGAGGCTATTGTATAGCCTCTACAGCAATGTTTCTCTCAATTATGATAACAAATCTTATGTGTTCAGAAAGAGCAGAGGTTGAGGGCACAGGAGTAGAGAAGGCCAATTCTTGTTTATGCAATTCATGGTCTATAACCAATTATTTAGAACACCAATGTCCACAACTACCCACGAATATCATAGCTTCTCTTGGGTTCAGATGCTTAGTCTCATAAACACTGTTCTTTATATAAGAATTTAAAAGGTATGAATGCTGAACCCAGGGAATCTTATATAAATAGATCACAATATAATCAACATTTCAAATTGCTAATTTTTCTCTATAAAATCAGAACTGACCAACCAATTACTATTTACTGAAGATCCACTATGTACCAAGGCACTGTATTAGACACTAGGGATACAGCAGCTCCTGCCATTGTGAAGTTCACAATCTCATGGGGAAGACAAATTAATCAAATGCACATAAAATTATAACTGTGCTCTGAAAGCATAGATTAGGGGGATATGGTAATCAGAAGTCAGGAAGAATGAGTAGGTCAAGAATGACTAAAGAGTGATTATGGGTCAGGCATGGTGGCTCATGCTTATAATCCCAGCACTTTGGGAGGCTGAGGCAGGAGGACAGCTTGAAGCCAAAAGTTTGAGACCAGCCTGGGCAACACAGTGAGATCCTATCTCTACAAAAAGTATATTAAAAAATTATCTGGGTGTGGTGGCACACGCCTGTAGTCCTAGCTACTCAGGAGGCTAAGGCAAGAGGGTTGCTTGAGCCTGGCAGGTCAAGGCTGCAGTGAGCTATGTTAGTGCCACTGCACTCCAGCCTGGGTGACAGAGCAAGACCTTGTCTCAAAAACAAAAAGTGAGTATGTATGTTCAAGAGGGAGGGGGAAAAGTGTTTTGGACAGATGGAAAAGCACATGCAGTGGCCCTCTAGCAGGGGGGAGCTGGATAATGTCTATGGAGAGGAAAAGCAAATACAGCTGGAGGACAGAGGACAAGGGGGGTACAAGGTGAATGGAGAGTGATGGCAGAGCCAGACCACGCAGGCCTACAGACCAGGTTAAGGATTAGAACATTCATCCTAAAAGCAATGGATTGTTCCCTCTCTGCTCCCACTGCTTCACTTGACTAGCCTCAAATAACTAACTAAATAAATAAATGAATAAAAAACAAAACCAACCAAACAAACAAAAACCAAAAAAATTAAAAGCAATGGAAAGTTTGGAGCAGATTGCTGTAGTGGGAGGAACAGATATGGAGGGGTGGAGAGCAGGGCCAGTGGCAAAATAATGCACAGAATCAGTTTAGAGGCTATTACACAAGTCCAAGCAAGAGACAGCAGTAACTTGATCATGATCATGATGGTGGTGGTGGAGATGAAGAGATAAGGTCAGATCTGAGATTTAGTAGGAGGTCAAATGGACAGGGTCTGCTGATAGATTTAATGTGGGAAATGGAGAAATTTCCTAAGGTTTCCAGCTTGGACAACTGGATAGATGACAGTTGACAGTACCACTTATAGAGAAAGGCACCTGGAAGAGGGCCAGGCCTGGGAAGGGAAGATCATGAGTTCAATATATTAGATATGGCCATGAATTACGGAGATTTGTTACTTTAGCCCCCAAGGGTAAGAAGAAAGGCAGAAAGAAGAAGGAAATTTTACCTTGATATCGGCTCTGAGCTCAACCAATTGCTCCTCTGACATTCGAACAGCCACATCAGTCATCTTCTTTAGAAGTTCAGCTTTCTTTTGTCGGCTGAGCAAAATTTCCACTGTAGAGGAGAAGTAAGTGTGAATCTTATGTTGCTGCTAAACAGGATAAAGAAGAACTAGAAGTATGAACTTTGCAGTTTGCATTTGGACAGCCAAAGGCTTAGCTGCCCACCCATCCAGAAAATGAAAATACCAAAGGTCCAGTTTCTACCTTCTGGAGGATCTTTGAAGGCAGTTAAAGAGTAAACATTTTTTATGAATCACAAAGACTCATAAATCATTTGTCATTTCTCATTTTCCTCTTCCCAGTCAAAAAAAAATTTTTATTAAGTAGCATATAAAACAGAAATAGGCACATATGGTAAAAGTTTCATCTAGAATAAATGGGTATAAAACAAAAAGTAAAAGCATCCCTTGTACTTCTGATTTTGTGGTCTCCTATCCAGAGGAAACCACTGTTAACGATTTCTTGTGTATACTTCCCAATATTATCTATGTATATACAACATAAGTATCTCTCCTTGTTTTTCCCTCCTCACAAAGGGACGTATATCATACACATGGTCCTTCCTTTACCTTAGCTTTTTTAAACTTAATATATCTTGAAATTCATCCCCTATTAATACATCTGGATCACCTTCATTCAGTTTAACAGCCACTTAGTATTCCACTATGTGGATATACCACAATTATTTACCAAAAGAGTGACAGCTATTTAGATTGTTACAGTCTTTTAAAAGGCACCTGCTTTGGCCTGCTCCCTGAGGTCCAGCTCACATACGACCATGGTGGATAACAGACAATAAAAATCTCCCAGAGAAAGAGAGACAGGGGCTACAGTGGACAATGAGTAAAAGAAATCCTCCCAGAAAGCAGAACTAAGGCTGTAAGATAAACCACCCAAGGAACTTCCTCTACCACCAAGGGAGGGCTATTTCCATCCAGTGAGACTTGATCATTGCTTTTTCAAATGGGAATTTTCAAAGAAGAGGAGAAAGAATTATCCTCTTCTTTCTCTAACTATGTAATATAGGCAGATGGGGCATTTAACTTTTCTTTTAGCTTATGAGACCCCAGACCACAACACACCATATCTAGACCTGATGGAAGATCTGAAATTACTCAGAAGACTTGGCCTTTCAGCTGAATATACCAACTAGATGCGACTCTGGAGGTGCTGCCATTGAGAAGAGGGTGAGTATGTTCTCATTTGGGAAAAAAGAGGGATATTCGTTAGCTGCAGGGGAAGATTGTAGCAAAGACTATTAATTAATTGAATACTCACACTCCTTTTCTTCCTAGCTATCAAAGTCCAACGTTGTTGGGTACCAACATGCTCAGGTAAAAACCTACATTTCCTGGCTTTGTTACAGATGAGATGGTCATGTGATATAGTCTGCCACTGAGATATAAGCAGCACTCACAGGGTGGGATTTACAGGAAAGCTTTTTATAGGAGTCTTATAGATCTCAAGATGGAGAAAATGTGATGAATAAAGATTTCTACACATGTCAGGTAACTCAGAGGACCTAACTATACAACATTGGACAAATCACACTTGTTCCAAAGAATGAGTTTCTTCATTTATGAAATGAAAAAACAAGAAAAAAGAAAACCAACATACCTTATAGGGTTAATGTGAAGCTCATACATGAATGTGTATGAAAAAACTCTGAACTGTGACCTACTATGAACATATAAATTATTTAATTAAACTAATGTGTAAAAAAGAAAAAAAAGCACCTTCTTGATAGTACTGATAAATGAGTAATCATATTGTGTCACTGAGAACCAGGATTTTCAGGGAGAAAGGAGATACAGATATAAAACTGATGAAGTAAAATAAAACTCTGTAGCCTTGAATTCGGTAAAATAAGATTAGCCATGAATTGATAATTGGTTGAAGCTGGGTAATGGGGGTTTATTATATTAGCCCCTCTGTTTGAAATACGTTTAAAATTTTCTATGAAAGGTGTATTTTCTTTTCTTTTCTTTTTTTTTTTTTTTTGAGACAG